TCCTTGGAAAGGGGTCAACTGCCCCCAAACTCCTCAGGTACTAGAAAAGTTCAACTTTGAAAAGTGATGTTAAAAAAAAAAAAAAAAAGATGGGGCCAGGGACTTAGCTCAGTGATTTCACCACCTGCCTCACAAGCGCAAGGTCCCAAGTTTGATCGGCACCAAAAAAAAAGTGATGTTTAAAAAAGATGTTGGCTTTGGCTGAGGAGCCTCAGAGAGAATTTTAATTCACGAAAGCGTAAAGAAAAAAATTATTCTTAGCGTTCTCTGAAATAGAACCTTGGTGATATAAGGCAGATAGTTATTCAGCAAGAGCTACAAAACATTTTTAATACCATCCATTGTCTTTTGAGCAGGGGAAGGAGTAGTATTAGGATACTAAGATGTTACAAATTGAACAAGTGACACAATGTACCTGTCAATGATAGTTAACTTAACCAAAACTGACCCAGTCAAAAATAATTGGATTAAGGTTTTAATCAGTAGGCCACTCCTACTACTTTTAATAGCATTCAGTAGGTGTTCAAAATACATCAAGGTTCTGAGGTCTAACTCCCCATAAAGCAATCATGATGGCTTTGTTCCTGGAACCTTATCTCTCCAGACATCTGAAAGGTTTCTTGGTTGCTTCTCACATAGCCTGCAGAGGGCCTTGCACCTTTAGTAACTTCTCAAAGGGACATTAAATTCTTATCTAGGACTAGGGATTTAACTCAGTGACACTGCTCCTGCCTAGAAAGCACAAGGATCTGAGTTCATTCAATCCCAGTACCAGAGAGAGAGAGAGAGAGACAGAGAGAGAGAGAGAGAAATTCTTGCCTATTTAGACTCTTAGAGGCTGTGTTGAATCTGCTCCCAAGACAATCCCCACCCAAGTCCAAGTTGAAGGCTACCCCTTGCTATATAGTAAGGAGCCTAAGTGAGCTCTACATATTTCATGGTGGGAGTTAAATGTCACAAGTCTGTAGTCTGATTGATGGCAAAAGAATTATATACTTCATTTCGCTTTTATAGTTAACTCAGCTCTGATTCCTGAGACAAAAATCTTGCGTCTTGCATTCATTCACCTCAATAAAATGACCACACACACATAGGCGACACAAGCCCTGATTGCTGGAGAAGGAAACACGCCCTTCTCCCTCTTTGCCCCTCAGGATCAGCCCTGGCAAGCCAGGCTTCTGGAGAACTAGCCCTGAGAAATTGCTTGCCCTTGAAGCGTCTACACGCCCATCCCTTGCTCTGTTTCTTTCTCCACAAAGGTCCCCTCCTTTATTCTTGTACTTATTAGTGACCAGAAGCTGCAGTGACAAAACTGAATGGCCAGGATTCTCCCTGCCCTATGGAAGAAACTAGAACTGGACAGTACCAACTCTAACGTATGGGAAAATGAAACAAATGCCTTGAAAGATTCAATTCAGCAACATGGGCACCCAGGCAAGGTAGAAAGCAGCAAACAGTGTGAAAGAGGAACTAGCTTTTGAGGGGAGGGTGTTAAATGGAATAAAAGCCCGTCTGAATATTCAGGGTCACAGAAAGGGCAAGGGCAGAACAATCTCACATGAACAGCCGTAGCTGAGGCATGGTGACTCAAGTCCCTGGAGAATAAAAAAAATGGAGAGGAAGACGAAGCTGAATAAGGGGTAGAGCCAAGTGGCTTGCAGTAGCCAATACAGAGCTGTGGAAGGCTTCTGAAATAATCTAGCCTGGCTCCAAAAAGAGACTAGAAATGAGAAATGCAAAGCCTCCCAAGTAATCCACATAGCAAGTGACAAAGATGTAGCAGTAAGAAAGGAAAATTAGTGAAAATGAATCCAGGGCTCCCAGAGGGAATTGCCAGTGGGTACTGGTGTCAGTCATCAACCCAGCAGGAGAGCCAGTTCACTTCCAGACTTACTGGGCGGGAATGCTGCCAGTATCCATGAGTAGACAGACACAGGCACAAGCCAGGAGCCCACTAGTGTTCCCCAGAGACAGGTGAGCATGTGGTTAGGAGCATGATGCTCTTACGAAAGAGAAAAAGGAACATAGTGCTCTTACAAAAATCTTGTAACCCATTCGTACATATCTCATGAAGTTGTTTCAATGAGCTAACCTATGTCAAAAGCTTAGAACAGTGCCAGATACACAGGATATGCTGTGTTTGCTCTTGAGTTCCAAAGCTTTAATTGGCAAAAATTAGCAATAACCCTTACACTCTACCCAATGCCTCAAAACACTGGGCTTGTCATCCAGGAGTTGGATGGTGCTATTTCCCTAGCCCTCCAATGCTCGAAAGACTGTAATGTGTGAGATGATGTTATCACAAATGGATTTCAGGACAAGCCAAACCAAGACCCTTTCAAGACTCAAACTCAAGCTCTACATAGTGAGACTCTGTCTCAAAAACAAATAAATTAAATAAACTAACAAATACATAAATAAAACTTAAGCTTCGGGCAGGCATGGTGGCTAATGCCTATAATCCCAGCACTAGAGAGGCTGATGCTGGAGGACTGCCATGATTTTGAGACCAGCCTGGGCTACACAGAGACCTTGTCTCTAAATAAATAAAGGCCGGGAGTGGTGGCACACGCCTGTAATCCCAGCACTCCGGAGGCTGAGGCAGAAGGATTGCTGCCAAGTTGGACGCCAGCTTGGACAACATAGTGAGTTCAAGGCCAGCCTCAACTACATAGTAAAACCCTGATCTCAAAAAGAACAAACAAGTAAATAAGTAAAACTCAAGCTTCAGCCTTCTTTAATGTTTCCTTCCAGGAGCAATTCATCAGAACACTCCCAAAATAATCTGATTCTCCTCTTCCTAGTTGCAGCTGGAATCAAACGACTTTGCTCACATTAGCCTGCTTTACTCACCTAAACTAGGAGTCTAAATCCCAAGCCTGACACCTTGTGAGTTAAAGACCTTATTCAATTCTGCCCCCATTGGTAACTTAGAAGAAATACACCCAAGTGTCCTCAAGGAAACTTCATAGGCTAAAAGGTGGCTGGCTGCAAGTGTAGAGAAGAGATGCCTACAGGAAAGATGTTTTCACATTATTGCACTTCATCACCACTCCACAAAGTGGACAAGGCTTCAGTTATCTAAGTCATACAAAAAGAAATGGATGGGGTCAGGGATTTAGCTCCAGGGCACCATGACTTCCTTGCAAGCGAAAGGTCCTGAGTTTGATCTCTGATATCTCGAAAAAAAAAAAAAAAAAAGAAAAGAAAAGAAAGAAAAAAGAAATGGGTGGTCCAAAGAGGCTACAAGGCCCTGTGGTGTGTGGGGATTCAAAATCATTTCCAGACACTTTAACTAAATCTATTTCCACTCTGGGACAGGAGAGAGATAATTCCCATTCCAGGCCACAAGAGTAGTGTAACTCCACAGTTCCAGCCCTACCTCTAAGGCTGGGAATAAGTAAATTTGTGAAATTAAAATGTCCTGGAGCAATATTCACTCATATGAGAAGACCTCTCATATTAATGACCCTCCACCTTTTACTTCAGGACTTGCCAAGAGATGACCGTCTTCCCCAAGAGTTAACTCATATGTTGGCCAGAGAAACATATAGAAACTGTCAAGATCCTGTCAGCTCAAAGGCACGGTTTTAAATTAACTGAATTAAAGTACACACCAGGCAGGACATGGTGGCCCCACTCCGGTAATCCCAGAGCTGGGGAGGGTGAGGCAGGAGGATCGCTCTGAGTTCGAGGTCAGCCTGGGCTACATAGTATGTTCAAGGCTAATCTGACCTACGCAGCGCAACCCTGAGATTCATCTTCCAAGGCTTTGGAAACATGAAACGCTCCCCTATGCCAATCAGGACCGCCAGAATGAGGATACAGCCGGAAGACCCACAGAGGATGTCCAGACATTCTCCCTAAAAGGTGTTCCCATTAGACACTGAAATTTTAAGTATGTAATTGAGCAACACTCAGTACTTGCCTCGGCCTTAAAACAACCCCCCCAACCACGCCCTTCTTCAAATCCTAGCCAAGACCCCGGCCAGAACCCAATCCCTGAATTTGGGACAGTTCAGAAACTCGATTCCCCTCGAATTTGAGGGCCCGGAGTCTGAACCTGACCCACTGCCACCTTTACACCCCGAGGCAGAGAGTAAAAACCCGGCTGGCCGGAGGCTCTTTCTTATGTAAATGACCTGCGGGCCGCCGAGAAAGCTCGGGTTGGGTGGGGGAAGAGCCAGGTAGGCGCAGACAGATCGGGGCTTCTGGCAGGAGGGAAAAAAAAAGTTCGTTTTCAGAACAAAAACCTCAAAAAATCTGGGAAAGCGAGGGTGGGTGTAGAGGGAGTGGTCCTTTCCGAGCAACTTTTAAGCGCAAACTAAAAAGTGTACAAAAATCCAACCCCAACTCAAGAGCGAACCTCCGGAACGCGACACGGGGCGATCCCGAGGCAGATCTTGGGGGGCGGATACGGGAGAATGGACGCCCCTCGCCGAGCCTGAAGTTCCGGGAGCCTCAGTTCCGGGGAAGGGGCGCGCGGGCAGTTTCTCTGCCTCTTTTCCCGCTTCTCTCGGGGTGGGCTTTTCCTCCGGTCGTCTCCCCAGGGCGGTGAGGAACCACAGGAGAAACCGCAAGCTTCCTAAATGCATCCTTAAACGCCGGAGGCCCCCGGATGCCCCACGCGGCCACTGAGCCTCCTCCCCCAGCCACGGGTCTCCCCACGTGCTCTCGCCGGAACTCGGTCTTGAGTAGGGGGGTTCCTCCCACGTGGCCCCAGCAGTCCTTGACTACGTGCCGGCAGGCGCCCCTCCAGAACAGTGAAAAAAGCGGGTAGGAGAGGGCGAGCGCGCGCGGGGCTACAGGGAAGAGGAGAGCACTCGCAGTCTCCAGCCGGCCAGTGCCTAGCGGACGTGGCTCCTCGTGCCCCGGAGTCTCCCAGCTACCCGACTTTTTCCGCGTCCACAGCCCCGAATGAGGAAGCAGGACCCAGGGGTTCCGGGAAACCACGCAACTCTGTCGAAAGTGAGCTACCATCCCTGCGCCTGCTTGCTTACCTTCTGCGCTTGGTTACGGTTGAGCTCCGTGAAGAAGCAGGCGATCAAATGCGAGGCAATCATCCCTCTGCGGCCAGACGGCGTGAAGTTGGGAGACCAAGGCGCAAAGCTTGCGGGGGAGGCCGGTGGCGCTGTGCGACCGCTTTGTACCGGGGTTTGGCTGCCGGACGGGGAACGGGAGTCCCAAGCGGCGCACAAAGCAAGCTAATAGCGATTGCAGGCCAGCCGGGGGGGGGGCCTCAGGTCTCCAGAAACAGGTTTTTGGAGTAACAACTGCTAAAAACTGCCTAAGTATCACTCCTGGCGACTTGTTTGGTTACCCAGTGTCAAGGCGCTAGCTTCAGCCACAGGGTCACTTAGGAAGAATCACAGCCAAGCTCTACTAGGGCAGCTGGACCTCTTTGGCTCACTCACACGATGCTCCGCCGAGCGAATCTTCGTAGATGAGTGACACGGCGTTGCTAGTGGCCTGGAACTCCTGCGCTGGAGTTTCGTGCAACAATGTGGCTTATTGAAGGCCTGCCGACTCGCGGGCCGCCAGCTCAATGACGTGCGCGCTCCCATTGGCTGACCAGAGAGGGTGTGTGAGCCCGCGGGCCGCCCGCCGGCGCGGCACAGCCAATCAGCGCTCACGGCCCGCGGGCGCGGCAGCTCTGACACCCGAGCCGGCTAGCTGGAGAGGCGCGCCTGGGGCGCGGGGCGGGGCCTGATGTCTGGATGGGACGTGTGTTCCGTGGCAAGAAGCTGGGACGCAAAGGCGCATGAGCCACCTCCGCGTCAGCCCGAGCTACGAGTGAGGGGCGCGTGATCGCGGATCCAGGAGAGGTGGGACGACTGGAAAGACAAGTCACCGGACTAGCACACGCCCTGTGCTGAGGAGATACACCGTTCGGTATCGGGATCATGTGAGGGGCTCCATCACATGTTGAAGCATCCCTGTTCTCGCCTATTCCGGCTCAACTCGTCCACGCATCGCTGCTGCTTACTCTGTACCAAGACCACAAAAGTCCACCCATCTAACCCTCACATAGCCGATAGGAATGTGATTTACACCAAGCCCGTTTTACAGGTACGGATGTCAAAGCACAGCACTGTTAGATTTTTCCAAGATCACACAGCCAACAAGTTACAGATGGAGAACGAAATTCATATCCTTTTTACTTGAGACCCTACTCAATTCCCCGTTATGGAATCCTGCCTTTCTCAGAGCCAGGGAAGTAGGCAGTGGGAAGGGGCACTGTACATGTGGGTGAAACTAGGCGGATGGAAAGTGTAACTGGATGATCTGGGCAGGTATGGAGTTGGGTGGGGAGGGGTGGCTTACAGAAGCTGAGAGGAGAGGAGCCCCAGCCATGGCTGATGCCTGGCACCAGACTCCAAATTTATGCATATTAGTGCAGTGGCAACGAAATACCAACCTCAGAAAACACAAGGATGATACTAGTGGAGAAAGACAAGAGTAGGGTTGGAGAAGTCACGGTGGAGGGATGGTAAAGATCTGCCGTGTTCTACTGAGGAGCTTCTCTCAGTGGGGTGCTTCTGCAATTCATGTAGACATTATTATACAAGAAATAAATGGTCTTTGTTGGAAAACAAGAACACCACAGGGATAAACAGTAAAACCTATCTATGGTCAGACTCCCCAGGACTTGAAAGGTGGATAGCCTTGCCAAATATAAAGCCTCACCCTTGCCTGTCAGAATTGGGCCCAAACTGCTTTGGTCCCAATCACCACAGTGATGTACACGTTGCACATGTTGCAAATCTCGTGCTCTCTTCTCTTTCCTGTCCCAGCCTTATTCCATCTCTCAGAGATGCTGGGGACAGGAGATTACACCCTCCATTCGGACACAGACCCACCTTTCTTGCCCGCTCAGAGCCAGAGGCTTCACTCTGCTGGCTTCCGGCCCAACCGCATTCCCCCAAACCCCTCAGCCCTGTGTTCTCTGCTGGCGTGTGCTGTGTAATTCCGGAGCTGCCTTCCACCCTACTCTCTGATGTGGTGACCAGCTCTCCCTGGGTGATCCTTCCCAGCCCCGTGAGTGGAAATATCACCTACATGTGGGTGACTCACAACAGTAAATCTACAACCAAACCTCTCCCAGAGCTTCAAACTTATTCCTCCAACTGGCATTTATCATTGTCACTGAAGTGATTAGAACGTCACACTTAACATAGCGCAGAGTTTAAGTTGACTTTTCTTCCCAAATCTTTTTCTTTCCCAGTTGTCTCAGAAAATGGAATTTCCAGCCAACTTAAGTCATGGATTCTTTCCGGCCTCCCACCTTCACATCCCACCAGTCTGTCAGCAGGCAATCTGAATGACCTGTTAGACAGATTCAGGGCCCGCCCACCTCTCCATACCCTGATACTTCCTATCTAAGTCACCAGGGAACCCAGCAGAGTCAGTGCCCCATCATCCTGTTTCAATTCTTGCCCACCTCCACCCTGACCCCTTCAATCTCTTCTTCACTAAGGAGCCAAAATGTCTCTTTTGAAGTATAAACCATCCTGTTTTCCCCTGGCTCAGAGCCAACCAACAGTTTCCGATTTTAGAATAAAATTTGAGCTCCTGACAGTGACTGCAAAGGTTTTAAGGTCCCTGCCTCTCTCTCCACACCATCATAAGACTTGCCCCCAGTGCACTGCTCCGCATCCACATGTGCACGCTTTTCTCAAAAAATGCCATAACTATCTCCCTCCTTTGCTCTTTCTTTTTCTTCTGTCTAAAATACTCTCCAAGGGCCAGGGATTTTGCTCAGGAGTTCTGCTGCCTGCCTTGCAGATGCAAGGTCCCACGTTCAGTCCCCAGTACCAAATAAATAAATAAGTAAAATAAAATATTCTCCAGATCTGTCTCCTCATCTCCCTCATTGAGACTCAGCTCAAATATCACTTCCTTAGAGGACTTTCTCCTGACCAGTTTATCTCAGGAAGTTCCTATTCAGTATCATTTGGCTCTGATTGACTTCCTATTTGCTTTCTACATGCTGTATTCTTTCTCTCCTCACTAGACCAAGCTATAAGAGGTTATGATCTCTGTCTGTGTTCTCTTATATTTGTAGTGCCTAGAATGATAGGGGTGCAAAAGCATAAATTATAGAAGAAATTATAGAACTACTGTTGTTCCCATAAAACCAACATAGATTGGTTTTATATGTTTTATGTATTTCTCAAATCTTTCCCACCTCTCTAGAGCCCAGTTCCTACATCCATCGTCTCTCTCCTAATTGCAAAAGCTTCATAACTGGGATTTCTTCTTCACATATAGATACACCATAAATATCCAACAAAGAAGTTTAAAATGGGGAGTGGTGGGATCCAACTGGCTTTTGTAAAACAGTAACTGCCCTCACATGAAGCAAGAAGCAGAAACGATAAGGTAAGGACCTGAGCAAACTGAGGGTGGGGCAGGGTTCACATGTTATGAAATCTAAGGCAGAAAAGGAAGATTATTTAAGGCGATTGTGGTAGCACAGACCTGTAATCCTAGTGCTGGGGAGGCTGAGGCAGAAGAATCACTGTGAGTTCAAGGCCACCCTGTTCTACACAGTGAGTCTAAGGCCATCCTGAACTATAGGGTGAGACCCTGTCTCAACCCACCCCCTTAAAAATAAAGTATTCTTATAAAAGAACTGACATTTAAAATTTAAAAATTATGTAAGACTTCTGCATAGAAACACTGAGAAAAGTTAACAGCCCAGTGCAATAAAAACCACTGTCCCTAGCTGGTCAGTGGGGTCAACTCTAACCCCCTTTCCACACACTAATGTTAATGTCTCCTCCACCCCCCTGACTGTCCCATCATGTGGATTAGGTAATAATCGCAAGTACTTTAAGTACATGTTATCTTTCATAAAGCTCCCAGTAATCCTGGGAGATGGCTGGAGTGAGTGTTATGTCCAATTAATACATGACAGAGTAAGGGAAAGCTACCCACCCAGGCTGAGATGTGCATCTTTGGCTTTTCTGACCCCAAACTACATAATTAGAGTTTATTTATTCTTTTGGTTTTTTTTGTTTTTTTGTTTGTTTGTTTTTGGTACCGGGGATTGAACTTGGGTCCTTGCACTTACAAGCAGGCGATGGAACCACTGAGCTAAATTCCCAGCTAGAGTTTATTTATTGATGCTCACATACCTCTTCCTCCCCTCCCTATGCACACAGATGTTTGAGTGATGGGACAGCCAATAATTTACACTCCACTCCAAAAAAAAGAGAGAAATAATTCAGCAAATATTTATTAAACCCTTAGAGTGTTCAGAACTTTTCAATGCTATGAGAAATGCAAAAGGAAACATAAGATATGATTCTGGTCCCTATGTGATTAACTGTTTAGTCAGAGATATAAAGCTAACCATAAAACAAACACCACAGAATAGAAAAGTCTGTCACTGAAAGCCAGATATGCTTGTGTCTTTATATGTGGTGGGGTTTCAGGGAGGGAGAGTCACACCCATAGGCAGTGTCAGCCAACGGTGTTCTGACAGATGAGTGCCAGCTTTCCAGCTGCATGCCAGGCTGGTGCTGGCATGAGCCCCACACAGGACTGACCTGAACCCGGCCACTGGGCATCAAGGAATTGTCCTGGGAAGACAGCTCTTTGCCAAAAGACTTCTGTCTGCCAAATATTCCTTTTGGGGTGGGGGGATAGGGTCACTCTGTGTAGTTCAGGCTGGCCTTGAGTTCACTATGTAACCCCGGCTGACCTCAAATTCACAGCAATTCTGCCTCAGCCTCCTGAGTGCTGAGATTACAGGCATGCGCCACCATGCCCAGCTATTCCTCTTTTTTAAATTAGGGTATATGCAGTTTGCAGGCATTCCTTTTTTTTTTTTTTTTTTTCATTTTTTTGAGACAAGCTCTCCTTAGGTAGTTCAAGCTATTCTTGAACTTGCTACATAGCCCAAGCTGGCCTTGCATTCTCGATGATCCTCCTGCCTCAGCCTCCCAGCAGCTGGGATTATAGATGTTCACCACCACACCTGGCTTTTCAGCACATTTTGATTGATGGGATTATGTAGAGAATTTTAAAACAAGGTGGATATAGCCTGAATATAAATATAATTCCTTGTATCATTTTTTCCACCCTTGGTGGAACCTGGGTTCCAACTCAGGACCTTGCACTTGTCTGGAAGGTATGGTGCCACTGAGGTAAATCTCTGGCCCTGATCCTAATATCTTTAAATTGAGCCCTAATGGTGTAGATAATCTCTTGTGTTTCAGAGTTCAGTCACACAATTATAATGTATAAATTGGAGTAACTGGGAAAGAAAAGCATTTAAAAGTTTGTTTGTTTGTTTGTTTTCAGCACTAGGGATTGAATTCAGGGCCTCGAGCATTCTAGGTAGGTCTTCTGCCATTGAGTTACCCATGGAGCCCTTCAAAGCATTTAAAACAGAAATGGAAGTCACAAGGATTCACAACTTCATGCTACCTATCAGAATTGCAAACAGAACCCACCTAAGCTAGTTTAAGCAAAAAGAAATTTGTT